AACCACTGTTTGTTTATCTTTTGCTGTCTGTGCCTGGAGATGCAACAGAAAGTGAGAGGAAATCTCTCCATGGTGAAGGGAATTCCCCTCTTAGGTAGTTGTCACTGAAACAAGTGTCCTGATTTAAAGATTTACCCTCACCTCTTGTTCTGGTGACAATTGATTTCTCATCAATTTCTGTCTGCATGTCCACCAAGACAAATAGAGAAAGCAAATCTACTTATTGGGTACACTGATAGCAATGCAAAGTTAACAAGCTGTAAGCCCTCAGCACTCCATCCAAAACAAAAACAAAAAAAGCCAGATAGGGGTAATGTGAAGTAGTATGGGGTACGTGTCCGTGTGTGTGTGTATGAATTTCAGGAACTCTTTTCAGCCATTCATAGTGCAAGATGTCATCACTTATTATTATTGATTATGTCATTAATTATGTCACGTATATACTCACTGCACTCCATGCAGAGTTCATAAAGCGAAGAATCCTATTGATATTATGAAGGAGATTTAAGAAACATTCATCATTGTAATTAAAATGCTTCCCAAACACCATGGAGCAGACCATGTTGGATACAGCGCAACTCACCAAGAAAGTGGGATTAAATGGCTTTCCTATAAAAACACAAAATATTATCTTACATTTTTACAGCACAATGAAAGCATTAAAATCATAATTTTTTAGAGATGGTCATAATCAACTGCAACCAAATTCAGGTGGCTTGAGCAGTTCTTGTTGTTAGTACAATATCCTCTTGTTACATGATGATGAGCTGTGTAACCAATATCTTTTAGATACACAGAAGGCGGATTCCAGAAGCAAGTAACACTTAGCTCACAGTCTCAGACTCAGGATTATTCAGAAGTGAACATAACTTGTCATGTAACTAGGCTCGGATTTCCCACAAGGCCACCGAGGCCCGGCCTCGGGGCGGCAGAGTGCAGACGGGCGGCAGCTGTGACCTTGTAGGGAAGTTGCAGGTGCCTTCTATTCTCAATTGATGGGGAGGGGGGGTTGGCGGGGCGGGGGGGCATATTGTGGAACCTGGCCTTGGGGCGGCAGGGGGAGTAAATCCAGCCCTGCATGTAGCCAGTAGAGTGGCCAACTGTACAAGGTAAATTCCATGCTGAACATCTGAGCTTCTCAGCCAGTAGAGTGTTTCCTCAAGTAATTTTGATGTGCCCCTGGAGCCTAGAAAAGTTCATAAGGCATACATATTATGGCACATACAGTAGAGGTACCTGCGTATCTGTTTAGTTATCCTATTAAATGCCCTGGGAGTCCTGCACATTTCAAAAAGCCTATCTGTTGGTGTCACCAAAAGGATTAGTGCCCTATTACTGGTGTCACTGAAAGAAACAGTGTCCCATTTTTGGTGTCAGTGGAAGGATTAATGCTCCATCATTGGTGTCATTGGGAGGAATAATGCCCCATTGTCTGTTGTCATTGAAAGGAATAGTGCCCTATCGTGTGGTGTCGCTTAACAGGAATAGTGCTCCATGGTTTGGTGCCACTAAAAGGAATAGTACTCCATCGTTTGATGTCAGTGGGACGAATAGGGTCTCATTGTTGATATCAATGAAAGCAATAGTGCCCCATTGTTGGTATCAGTGAAATAAATATTGAATACCACATTGTTGATGTCAGTGGAATAATGCCCCAAGGGCCTGTTAAAGGCAAGCAAGGGACCGCGTCTAGCAAATGGGAACTCAGTTTGGGGACCACTGGTGTAAGGGGCATCAGAACAATGATATATGACTGCTGACTAGTTGCTGTGACTACTGAATTTGCACATTCTTTTTAATGAAAGTAAGTTTGTGTCTTCCATTACAGGTGTAGCGCCCTCTAAAATGTCGCTATTCAATTTAGAAATACCTGGACTGTAACCAGTCTAGATACTGATTATACAGAGCTCTGCATTCTATAGGTGTCCCTGAATCTGCTGGATTGATTGCTCCTCCTGTTGCTGAGGAAAAGGGAGCCTTGGCATACAGTGAGGGAGGATCCATCCTCAGGTTATGACTATGCACCTGACCCTAGCCAATCCCTGAGTAGGATGACTCAGAGGCATGGTTGAGGGCAGGTAATAAAAGGTCTGGGGACACTGTGCAGAGGTCTCTTCCCCCTAGGGGCCTCGCCCTAGGAGGTCTGTGTGATGCAGCAAAACTGGCCTGGGCCTCAGCACATGGCAGGTGCTGAGGGGCCTGGAGGCCTAGGATACACTGATACTTTGCTGGGCCCATATCCGTGACAGGTGATGGGTGCCTTGTTCTAAGAAGATAGTACCAGTAACCTGGAGTGCTCCTTGGCAGTTGCAGATGCTGAGGGCACAGAGATTCCAGATTCTGAAGAGGAAAATACCTGAGGGAAGCTGGGAAGGAGAGAGAGTCTGCTTGTTGAGGGGTACCGCAGAGGAGCTGGTGAGAGCGTCCGTCTGGGACCCACAAGGGAGATCCCTCACCCTATTCCAGGTATCTGTTCGAGAAGAAGCCAGGGGTCCTTACCTAAGTCCAGAGATAGCTAACCTTCTCCATATAAGCTACTGGATCATCCTGGCTGTTCGCAGTATTACTACTACTATTGGTCCCTGGGACCAGATCACAGTGCTATCGGCCTTAGCGGTTGCTAGGGGAGAAAGCTGTCCTCTGAAGCAAATTCCAAGGGCATCCTACAGACACTAAACCCTCTCTCTCCTGTTGAGCTTACAAATAAATACCCCCCAAAAAACCTAAGACTCGAGCCATTCTGTCCATGAGTGTCGGTGTGCTGTTGCTGATCCAAGGGGACCGGTAGCTGGAACCAACAGGTAGGAGAACCCATTTCATATTCAGCGGCTCCTTCGGGGGTGAGCGCTACACAGGGTAACACAGACAGAAGAAACCACTATAAAACTTTCTAGCTTTAGAAGGATAAAGATCAAGATAAAGAAGCAGAAATCTGTAGAAACAAATCAAAGCTCCACTTTAACTCGTGTGACATGAATCAGTGTAAGTCAAATTGGTTCCTCTGGCTTGCCACACTTTACCCATCGTCATCATTGACGCGCTGTTCACTGAATAAAACAAATGAAGTACGAACTTTATCCAAATGTCTTTGTACCTTCAGTTTTACCAAATTCTTTTACTAGAATCTGAGCTTCCTCCTGGATTTTTTCCTCAATGGATCTTTTCCCCATCCCAAAATTTCTCAACACAGTAAGAGCGAACCTTCGCATTTGTAGCCAGCGTTCTCCATTACTTGCTGTAATGCCTAGGAAATACATGATAATGTAAGGTGCGACGAGGAATAATATTTTCTATATGAATTACAGATTGTGATGAATTTGCATAGAGAGAGTGCAAGTGTGAAGAAAAAAAAAGGATGTGCAAATTTAACATTCCACATCAAAAGGCCTGGAATATAAGTGACACCAAAGTAAAAAAAAAATAATAAAAAAATAATAACAATCACATTACCATATCCTTTCAGAACATATTCAGACAATGCCATCTTCCCTCTTCCACTGAAAGCATTTTTTTGGTCAATCAGAGCCTCTTTGATAACATCATATCCACATAACATTACTGTACGCCGAGTTCCAAAATATACAGTGAAGATTGGACCATATTTCTTTTGAAACTGCGAGTAGGAAAAGAAAGTGAACGGAGAGAGAAAGAGTAGTTTATAGGATGTCTTTTGTACAGTATTATAATTAAAAAAAAACCTTAAAGGAGTTGATTTATAAAGCGCTACGCAAACGGCGCTATATAAATCCTGTGTAATAATAAAGAATTCACAAGGCCATCATTATTTTCTATGCTCCCCTAGTGCCATCTAGTGACCGTAATGCAATATTACAATCAAAAATGTTACACTTGTAAAGGAAAAACGAAAGAATGTTTGTTTGTGCATATATTCACACAGGACAAAAGTTCACAGATATTTACAAAGTGTTTGTAAACCCTAACTTCTCTCATTTGCTCCGTTTTGGTCTATTAAAGTGTATGTTAAGTTGTTGTTTTTTTTTTAGTTTTGTCTTCCACTGGAAAGATTCAACCCTCTGTTTGTCCTGGTAACCACTGCCATGAGAAAGGTGAGAGGAAAGCCAAAAACTTTGAGTTGTCCCCAGTGCAAAAGAGGAGGAGAAAAATCATCCAATGGGGATACCTGTTCCTATGACAACTCTCAAGATGGTAATTCTGTTCAGTTTGGAGAGCTTTCCTCTCATTTACTGTTCTGTCTCTGGTATAGAAAATAAAGAGAAATCTCCCTAGCTCGACACAGTCAACAAATAAAAACTTGATAGGCAGGGCCTTATTTACCATTGGGCAGAGTAGGCATGTGGCTACAAGCGCCCTCCATCGAGGGGCGCATTGCAGGTACCTACTCTGCCTAACTCCCAGTGTTGTATCAAGATACGACACTGGCATTATCAAGGAGGGTGCATTTTACACAAAATGCACCCTCCTACTCCAAGACCAGAGGCAAAGGTAGGTGAAGGACCCCGGCACTGCATAAGGCTGCCCTGTACAATGCTTGTCTGATGCGGACAGGCATTTGGACCAGCCTTGCACAATGCCGGGGTCCTTCTCTGCATATGTGAAAGCCGGCGGGTCCCGCAGCACGTTTAGGGCACCAGCTCAGGCTAAACAGATTTCCATTCGTACCTACAGGTGTGCGAAATGGAAATCCAGCCCTCCTTGATAGGGTTTTTAATTAAATTAAAAATTCAGAGCTGCCCTGTGTTCTGCTCATACTTCCTGTGTTATCTGAAGGAGTCCTCCCAGTTCTCATCTTACACTACAGAAAAATGATTCCTTATGCCAAGTCTTGTAATTTATGTTCAACAAAAGGCACGTGGTGTCATTCCATAAGAGGAAAAAAATAGAAGTTGAGTGCATTTTTGGCAGATCAACAGGTTACTTTCTGTACTTTCAGGGTCTTTAAAACAAACTGAACTCCAGGCATATAAACTTTCATCAAAATATAATCCTCCATAGCAACTACAGGCTGCCTGCAAAAAATTACAGGAGGGGGTGGATACAAAACCAGTAACCCTGCACAAGAGGAGAAAACAGCGGTGACTCCGTCTTTATTACAGGAAGCTTTGCACAGAGACAACATTTCACAAAGCACACCAACATAATTATACAGAAATTATACAGTACATGCCTCTTATATTTAGACAATATTTCCTCATACCAGCTTATAGTGAAACTAAACTTTAACAGAAAAACTGTCCAGCGGGTAGAGTTTTCTTATAGAAGAAACTTTAGGGATTGTTCACTTGTCCAGTGCGGTGCATTCATCGCAGGATTCAATGCAACACACCAACCATGCATTAGGAGGTGTGTTGCATTGCCACTCATTTTAATAGCACCCCAAACGCACCTCTGGTCGCAATGCCTTAAACCAGGGATGTCCTTTGGCCTGGTGTCACCCGGAGCAGAGACCTCAGAGACATCATCACGCATGCGCAGCCATCTAATTGACGCCTCTCGGGACGGCGATCTTGATGATGAACGTCGGCAGAGAGAGGAGGGGACGTTCACCCAGCGGAATGAGGTATGCCGCCGGGTCCCCTCCTCTCTCCTGACACTGTCGGGCTCTTGGTCTGTGACCGAGTGCCCGACTTTTTAGAGGGGGTGACACCAAAATGACCGCCAGTCATTTTGGTGTCACTCCTCCAATGTCAGCACCCCTCGCACCCCCCTTGTGACGCCACTGCCTTCAACTGCAGCGCAACACCATGCTTTGCGGCTTAAAAAGTAGTGCATGCTGACAATGGTTTCACCAGACAGGAAGTGAGGGAAAATCTGCAACAGGGACACATATAGAAATAAAACTCTATTTTCAATTCCCTTACTCTACCCTACTCTAACTCTAACCGACTCTATCCAAAGCTAGAAAAAAATTGCTAAAAACCATCTAGTTCCAAACATAACTAATTCCACTGAGTTTGTATTGTAAAGCCCTTTTGGTCAATTATTTTCTGTTAATTAATCCTGTTTATATCACATGTCCCTATTTGCTGTTTGGGGTTATGTGATAGATTTTATTAGGTGATGGGCAGTCATGCCATCCAAGTGAGGGCAGCACCATGTAGCTCCTTTTTAAACGAATTTCATAATCGATCTATTGATATTGGACCTAGAAAGTCCTAATTCTTTTTGGTCATTATTTTATAGAGGGGATGTTGGTACCAATCAGTAGCACCTATCAGCTACCAGAGTCAGTAAGAAAAACTGCAACAGGCTCCAGCAACGCTTTTATGCATTTAGCAATGAGCAAATGTCTCCCCTTCTATTGATCCCAGCCAGCTACATATCCATCCAAGGGTAGTCTTCGTTAACAGTTGACTGTATGCTGGAAACGAGCTGCTGAACACCTATGTAACTATCAGAATTTTCCTTGACCACTTGAGTAACTGTCTGTAATACCCCTTCATTACCAGGCCAGTTTTCAGTGCTGTGATAGTTTGACTGACAATTACTCATTCATGCTACGCTGTACCCAACTGAACGTTATATCATGACTGATGGATTAGTCAATTACGTCCCTCTGTTAAAAAACCCAATAAACACACAGACTGTGTGACATGGATTTAAATGGCCACAGCAGCCCTTTACAACCGAACAAAAGTTCACAGTTATCAAAAGTAATAATAACAAATAAATAATCTAAACAACTGTTGGATCTGAGAAGGGATCTTTGGGTGCCCATCAGCCCAAAATAAGATCTCTACTAAAACTGCTCCCATGTCCCCAGCTGCACGCTAACCAGCATGAGGACAGTTACTGCTCCCAAATTCCAAGGGGCCAGGCCCCCCGACTAATACCGATATCAATGGGGGAAGCACCATAGCAGCTGATGGCCCCCCCATTTTATGACTCATATTTTCAGACCCTCAAAGACCCCCTAACCCGTCAAGCTGCCGAGAGATAAAAAAGACATTTCAACAACAATCAACCACAAAAAATTAGGGGAGGGCAGGCGGGACAACCTGTTTCCTCTGTCAACTTTCCAGAAAGAACACTCATCAGCCGTTGCAGTCCCTTCCCATGTGGCTCCTCCCCGACACCTGACCCCCACCTCCAATCAAGTAAGATCAACTAATTCACACTTTATTTAACTCCTTCTCTAGGGACTATTACTCCCCCCAGTCATACAGCCGCTCCGCTCATTATCTATGGGTCTGTTCTTTTGATTGTATTTAATAATCACTGGGTTTTTATTTTTTACTATAGAAAAGAAAAAAAGGCCAAAAATTGTGGAAAAAAAAGAGTTTTCCTTACCTTCTGTTAAAATAGAAAAATGCCAGGACAGCACAAACACCCCCAAAGTGACTCTTTTTAAAAAAATTTCTGCCACAATGTTTGGAAATTAAGAAAGAAGCAGGGATTAATGTGATTAAACATGGAGCTTGGTAATGGTGCACTAGATACAGCAGCACATGAAGTCATACAGAGAGATCAGGAGGGAAAGAAGTTAATGTACAGTGGAAATACGAAGATGAAGGGGTTAATGTGCTGGATAAGGGAGATGAAGGGAAAAGTTACAGGTCACAATCAGACAGGATGGATGGTGGTGGTGGGAGTGTTTGATGGTGGTAAAAGAATTAACAAAATGACCCCACAGTCAGTGAAAATGAATCAATGAATCAGCAGCTGCTAAATTTAGGGGAAAATCCAAAACTACTTTTGCAGTGGGACTTCCACCACTAGTAGTTTTCAAATTTCCCTGGAGTTCAGCTTTAACAAAATATAGCATAGTGAAATCAAAATACAGCTGGGAGTATGAGGAGGACAGAGTCATACACCTAACCAATCCAATTTGGTTAGGTGATTAACCCTCTTAACTAGTAATGCTAGGTCTTGAAGTCAGGCGTATCAGGACCTGTGCCTGCATGGAGTTTGTATGAGAAGCCCAATCTCTGCTTGCCCTGCTGGAAGTATGCCTATATCGCTTGGTTGGGATATTAGATTGTAAGCTCTCCAGAGACATTGAAATACACAATTCTCTCATTGAACCACTGCTTGGTGCTACTATTAAATACAGTTTAATTTTTTATAACACCCAGGTCACTCCAAGTATGATAATAAAGTCTTGCTTACCTTCCGCAGGGTTAACAGGAATTTATCAGGTCTCATTTGTAGAATGTTACCTATCAATGGTAGTGGGGTAGGCCCGGGTGGCAGAAGTATTTCATCCGTGGTGTTTTCTTTCATCCGTGTTATACAAACCAGGCATAGAAGGATGATGATGAGCACAGCACTGTACAGCCACATGTCTTCTCACTGCCTGTCTGGAAGTTGGTATGAACATGGATTACCTTTTTATGTATTTAGCAAGTGACATGAACTTAACCTGTGACCTTTTGTACAAATCAGCAGAAGCCATTGCTGGCCAATAGACTCAGCTTCAGAAATAAATGTGCAGCAGATTAATCCGTTGAAGGCAGAAATTCCCTATCTTCATTCACTGGCCTAATTCATTAAATCACTTCCATCAATTCCATGGGTAATGGAATTTGAAGTGAATGATATTACACAGATAGAATTTAGAATTGATACAATAATGTAATTTAGAGGAGAGAGTGATTAATGATTAAAGCAACGAGTGTAGAAGAGGGGGGGTGGAAATAATTAAATTGTTAAGAAACACATTTTAAATTTTTTGAAGAATAAAAAAGTATGGGTAAGGGAATATGATGTGAGTATCACACAGACATAAAGTAGAAGTGTCACATAAATAAAATAAATGAGGAAGTGATTAATCATAAAGGGGAATGGGAGGAAGAGGGGGGATAGAGATAATTGGAACACGTAAGAAATAAGGAGATAGACACAATACACATAGTGGTAAATATAGGGATTAATGAGGAGGAGGAGGAGGAGGAGGGAGTGCAGTTAGGGGGGTGTATGTATGTATGTATATATGTGTATATATAGGTATACATGTTTATATGTATGTATGTAATATATATGAAATTACTTTCATTTCATTTTTATTTATTTATTTATTTATTTATTTATTTATTTTCCTCTCTCTCTCTCTCTCTCTCTATCTCTCTCATCTCCTTCTTTCTCTCGCTTTGGGCACTCTCCCTGTGGTCCCCTTAAAGGAGCAGAGAATAAACATTATATGAAATGAAATGGATCTAAGAGAAATGCACTAGAATAAAGTATAAAAGCAGGTGGGGAGGATATGTATTTACATATAATTTATTAGAAGCGTAAGATTATGGGGATTTCTTATAGCTGGAGCGGTGGAACAAGAAGGGACAATAATAAGTATTATGTAATTGAATGAATGAATGTATATGTTTAAGGGAAAAATGTTTTATGTATTTAAATGTATATGTATATATGTCTATTTGAAAAATGTAATAAATATATATTAAAAAAAAAAAAATCGCTTCCATCTGACATGCATGTCTTTCTGCTGCCCTAATGCACTATAGATGACATGTTAATAAGAGACTCCCACAGATACCATTGAATAAAAGCCATATTAATGACAAACAAATGCAAATTGAAAGTTGTTTTCCAACTACATAATATTTTACTTAATTTCACTACAAAGGGCACACCCCAAATCCAACCTTTTCGGTTAGAGCATAACTTGTGTTTATAGTATAGTTCCTATAGATCTCCTTCATGACACCAAATCTAGTTGTTTTTGATGTTCCCTTTGTTACCTTTTATTGACTTTTTTGTGTTTAGCAAAATTGCAAATAGTACAAACACCAAGTGCAATAAAGCCATTATATCCATTACGGAACCAACAATACATACCATGAAAACAGCAAGGAACCGATATTCAGCAGAAGACAATACATTTTTACCATTCTCACATTAAATTATTCATGTATAATTCTCCATTAACATATGAACATTTAGAATTTAGGAAAGCAAACACTTAATTGTGGAGCCTTGAAAAATACAGATATTTTATTACTCTAGCACAGGTATTATCCTCTAATTCACCCCTGATATTTGGGAGACCAAAGATAGCAGTAAGGGAGACCTATAGTCCAGCCAATGATCCCATAGTAAAGAATGTTTAGCAGTAGCTCCTCTTGTTTGGTATGTGGCATTCTCAAAAGCAAAAAGTTTGTCTACTTCTAACACACGCTCCTATAGTAGCGAGCACATTGGACACCCATTTAAGGACAACCATCCTGTGGGTTGTAAACAATGGTCTCGAGAGAGCCAGGGAATCTTCACAAGATGGAGCAGCAAGTGAAGACGGATCAAAAAGTCCCAGAATACATGTAAGAGGGGTATTCATAAGAATGGAAGTGAAAACATGATTTACAATTGAATGAACATTTTCCTAATACCAAATTAATTTAGGACACATCCAAAGTAAGTGTATTAAAGAACCCTGGTTAGCTCCATATTTTAAACAAGGGTCTTCCCCGAGTGCAATTTTGTGTACAAATTCTGGAGTTCGATAGATTCTGTGCAAAGTGAGTTCACTTATGGGAAGCAGAAAGGGACACCTTTGTCAGTTCTTATATCAGAGTATCCCAATCGTCATCTGAAATATGTCCCAAATCCGATTCCCAACCTTGTCTTCTTTTCGGAGGGAAGTTGAGCATAATCTTATGGAGTAGTATACATATGAAATTATTTACAAAATTAATGTTGAACTATGCTTGACATGATGTGTTATCAGAATTGTCTGGATTATTTAGACATCAGTTCTTTATAAATCTTTATCATACACAACAAGTCTCTGTATCAGATATATCAAAATACTGATCTGTGTATTCATGCTTTGAACTTTCTAGGTCATGAATGTGTCAATGTTTAGAATTCTGTCCCAAGAAACCAGGAGTAAATGCCAGATAGGGGAAGGTACAGCAGCTGACGTTTTTACCTGTGTAACCTTGTATGCAATCAGGGTCATCATCGGGCAGGCTGGGGCTTCATAGGAGGGGAGACGCTGATTAGGAGAGAGTTCACCTTTTTTCTTCTTCCAACTTTCTCCTGCTCCATGCCAGGTAAATACGGCCATCATGGACATACAGTATAAAGCACTGTTTCTGGGCTCCAGCACTTAAGTTGATTTTCTGTTCAGGAAAGCAGACTGTGTTTCCATCTCTATTATTATTTAGCTCTACAACAGTGCAGGGCCTCTTGCAAGCCCTCAGGGGCAGGGCCCTCTTTACCATCTTGTCTTGAATTGTATTGTGATTGCAATTTCTTCCTTATATTGTAAAGCGCTGCACAAACTGTTGGCGCTATATAAATCCTGTATAATAATAATACTTGGTATCCTGAATTTTTATGTATGGCTGGAGGGTTGCTTTAAAGTGAACCCGTACTTTCCCAGTGCAGAACAAAGCGTTGGGTCCAACTAACCATTCATGCAATTTAAACAAAGATAGATGGCCAAGGTAAAAGAAAGTTGAAAAGGTTAAACACCATTATAGCTCAATGGGAAGTGACTACAATCTCCCAAATAGATATAGTTGACAATTGTATATACTATTAGATAGAGAGACCATTATTAGTATAACTGAAATGTATAATGATTTTTTTGTGGATGGTAAGAACATACAAAAAGAGTTCACTACGACCAACTTAGTACTAATTTTGAAACCAAGAAATAACTTAGAGGACGTGACTTCCTATAGCGCCATATAATTTCTGAATGTTGACTAAAAACTTATAATGGCTGCTAAGGCAAAGCATTCGAGGAATGTCAATGAATGCCTGGTTCATGAAAACCAGACAGGATATATGCCACGACCTTCCTCATTCCTTGTGCATCCAAAAATATTAGGTCACAAATTATTTACAGCTGAGACAACTCTGTCCGTCCCCTGTGTGTGCTCCAAAATGTGTCAGTTTACATCAAATTACCCCCTATCTGGCAGGATCCAGTCCGGCAAAATGGAACACTGTTCTGTTTGGTTTTATGAACCTGGCCAGAGTCGGGGGTAACCAGAAGTACAGGTGAAACTCGAATAATTAGAATATCGTGCAAAAGTTCATTTATTTCACTAATGCAACTTAAAGGGTGAAACTAATATATGAGATAGACTCATTACATGCAAAGCAAGATAGTTCAAGCTGTGATTTGTCATAATTGTGATGATTATGGCTTACAGCTCATGAAAACCCCAAATCCACAATCTCAGAAAATTAGAATTTAAAAAACCCAAACTACAGTTAATAAATGGATAGGAGGATAGAAATTCATCATTTGCGTTGCAAAGAAGTAAAAAAAAAATCCCCACAATATACTTTGATTAGAATTTGCAAATAGCATATCTATTAGTTTTTTTCTTGTTATGGTGGTACAACCCTTAATAGCACCACAGGAAACTGTATGAGCTAGACTTTACTGGTAGGCTCCTCAGGTATTTGTAGGACTTTACAGAGGGACTAAGAAAAAAACTGTGCATGCAGATGCACTTATATTTAGGTGCCGTAGCACATGCTTTTTCTAATGGTAAGCCATAGTTCTTCTTTGGTTACCTCCAGATTACTGATCTTACTCTTCTTCAACATCTATAACGGACTTGTTGTGGATAGAAAATGTTTGAATTCTGATTGCTAGTGGGAATTTGTTCTAAATATATTTATTTATTACAGGTTTTTATATTGCGCCATCAATTTATGCAGCATATTGTACATTTACACTCTATGTTTCCAACTCACATGCATACATACACATACTAGGGCCAATTTAGACAGGAGCCAGTTTACGTCCCAGCGTATCTTTGGAGTATGTGAGAAAAATAGATTACTTGGAGGAAACACGCAGGTACAGGGAGAACATGCAAACTCCATGCAGATAGTGTCTGGACATGGACTTGAAACAGGGACCCCCAGTGCTACAAGGCAGAAGTGCTAACCACTAAGCCACTGTGCCAACAACCACTGACACAAGACCCTGACTCTTCTATTTAGATGAGTAGGGTGGAAAATAAGGTTAGAGTACTAACATGTGTGTTTGGCAGTAATATGAGTGTTGCCAGGGAGCTGACGAGTTGTTGGCGACATGGGACAAACACTAAAGATTGCATCACGAACAGTCAAGATCCATAAAAGCATGCTAAGTAGGTTTAATGACAGGATCTCTTTGCACATGCAGCTCCCAAATGTCACTCATTGGTGGGTCAAATCTTTAAATCTTTTGAACCAAATCACTCTGCCCTTCTTTCCTCCTCAGCTGTCCCTTTTTTTGGTCTCACATATAAAAATTTACTTTTAGACTACCAAAACGGTGACACTGTACTAAACTCTTCTTCCAACCTCTCTGTTATTGC